TATATTGTTGAGGCGGATTCATTTTTACAAACTTCTTTTTGGGTATTTCGCCTCAAAAATTTTTGTCTTTAAAAAAGACAGAATTTCCTCACGTCTTTTATCAATCATCTTTTATCAATCTGTAATAAAAGACGTGAGGAAATTCTGTCTTTTTTAAAGACAAAAATTTTTGAGGCGAAATACCCAAAAAGAAGTTTGTAAAAATACCCATACATACTAACTCAACATCGAATAAGAATGTATGTTGCTTGAGATGCACTCAGTTTATTGAGCTGTATATTTACTGGTTAAGTTTAAGGTTCTTTGAACCCCATTCAATTGAATTAAAAAAAAATTATAGTGTAAAAGTTATCCAAAAAGTTGTGATCAAATAGTGGAATCAATACATGTACAAAAATAGTCAGAAATAATGTCGAAGGTGATGATGTTAAGATGCAAACAGTTGTATCTACAAATTATTCCTAAGATATACCGACTGTCGCAATAAGGATGGTAAGCGGCTGTATCTTGGAAAGTACATGTTGTAGTGTTCAGAAAAAAAAATTGATAACAAACTTTAAGAAAACAATTTTCTGGAAATTATTTTTAAATTTCTCAAATGACTGCTAAATGGCGCAAATGCAAACGATATTTTAAAAAGTCGATTTTATACAAAAATTGCCCCGATAATTGAAACATCTAGTAAGTTTAGTCGAAAGATAAGAAACACCGTACTACTTTCCTTATGAACTTTTTTTCCCTAACGTGTCAAATAAAGGGTGGGGGGAAAGTCAAACCAAAAATTTTTCGTTTTAGTCATCACTTAACAGTGGGCCTAATCAGCTACCAACTGAAAGAAAAACTGAAACTCACAAGAAACTACAATTCCATTTCGGAAGAATTGCAGATGCTTAAGGGATAGTTTTATTAATTATCTATAACTCATTGACAGTGCTTTATACTTTTTACACCGAAATTATAGATTTTCTAGCAAATCATTTTGAAAAAGAGGTATTTAAGTAATTAATTTTATACCTATTCACAAAGAACCGACTAGTCGCCCCCACCTCATAGCAAAGTTTGGCATTGTAGGCAAATTGACGACTTGAATGGCATATATGGTTTTACTGATTGGATTTCAGCGAGCTTGAAATTACGCTTTGATATAAAATTTCCATTACATCTGTTATAGCTAATATGAATGGCATGGCAAATTAATCTAGCTTATATGTGGTCTCTACTTACATGTAATCATAGTGTGTGGTATAGGGAATGTTTCCCCAAATTTACTATTAAACATTCTCGCTAATTCTTGGCATAACTGAATTTGTTGTACCTGGTCTTCCCCTACTGGAATATGTGTTGATCTGAAACGTTTTAGCACATTTTTGAGAAAACTCAATCCAGCTTTCTAAACACGCTCTTCCATTCAACACCTACTTGTATGACAAAATATCTGCTGCTTGTAATACCGGATACACAAAAAGCCCTAACGGAATATTTTTCAAACTTGCAGACTTTTCCTTATATTGTGGCAAATGCGCTAATCTGGCAAAACACAAATTAAAATGAAAGTTTGTAACCTACGGGGTTGAACTGAATTATTACCTTGCCATTGTGGATATGCAGCCCAAACACCAGCACAATTCAGCATGAGCGTGAACATTAGATTGTTGAAATAAAATTACTTTATTGGGATCTATACCACTTCCAAGTAAAGTTGCAGTAAGTTCTAATATATTCGTTGATAAAGTATGGGGATCCTGAGAAAAGTTAATTATAAAATTATTAAATTCAAATTAATATAAATTATATGTATACAGAATAACACCCTTCTAAAAAAGTTTCTATAAAAATAGGAATAGCCCGAATTTTGTGGTTTTCAAGAGATACAATGTATTGTCTACAATTTTTTCCGAAAGTAAAAAATAAAAATGGTAAATATTTTAACCAAAGTTATTGACGAATCAATAAAGCTCTCTGACTTGTGAGTGATATGATGATCAATTTTTCCAATGTGGGTGATAATTTTATTTTAATGTTTGCCAAACGGTTTTAGTTTTTTTTTGAATTTCTAGTTTAGTTTAAAATGTAATCTCCAGTATTAGCTATTTGTTTTGTTGTTAAAATAAATAATTCTGACAGATCTACTGTGAATTTTTAAACAAAGTAGCCTGTATATTTTGATTGCAACGCAAACAAGTTACACCCTGCATATTTTTTTGGTTAGAATGCTATATCGGTAATTACTTTCGACATAAAATTAAAAATTGGATAAGAAATCGGCTTGATTGGTGTTGATTATTGAATTCTACATTGAAAGCACCTAGTGCCTTTTCGAAAATATGTTTTTAGGCTTTTAAGAAAAGTGAGAATGGAATGTTTGTGTTATTAATCAGTTCAATCAATCAAACAATCATTCGAAAGTATCAATACATTTCGACATTCGGTTCCAATTCCAGATAATTTTAATTTCCAATCGTACATAAAAGTTTTACCGTATTTCATCGAATTTCAAATGTATAACACTGGAAATTCAGCCTTCAAGCTAAAGAATTGAGTCCCAAATTACCAATATTTTCAATTACTTTTGTTTCAAAATTAAAAGTCGATGACTCAGAATCGTTTATTTTAAAAACTAAAATTAAAATAGCAGTTTAGGAATTACAGTTTACACCTAAAAAGATTAGGCAAAAACTGAATTGAGATCGAATCTTCACCTAGAGTGGTATTGTTGAAACCTAGTTAACGCTGAACGGAGAAACTTTTTAAATTCCAAAATAATATTACCTGCGCAAACTTACATGTGGGAGAGTTATTGAATGCAGGTCAACAATACTCAATATTAGGTCTTCATTCTGGTCTTGTAATTTAACCCATTGTGAAATTGCTCCTAAATAATTGCCTATATGTATAGATCCAGTTGGTTGAATCCCTGAAAAGACTCTGGGGGGATATTTGTCAGCAACCAGCTAAAAACGTAAAGTTGTTTATTAATATTAAATAAAGTAGAAAAAGTTTACCTTTTGTGTTGAACAGTTCCTAATATTCCTATAAACTTGCTTTATAACGCGAATAGGAATCATGATTTAAAAACTTTGTTTACAATAATATGTTCCCGAAAGTTGGGTTATGGTCACAGACTGGGCACCCACAGAACATCCCCCAAAGGGATGTTCTGTGTGCACACCATAGATAATAGATATACTTAAATTTTATACTATTTCAAATTTCTACCAAAACAAAAATAATGAAAAAGGTAAAATGGTCAATGATTAAAATGCTACCATTTCCGATTTGAGTTCTGCTTACAAAGATTTTTCTCTTCATTTTTTTATACAGGGTGATTCACAAACTTATGGACACAGAGCAGGGACCTGAAAGTTTTTTTTTAGGGGCATACCCCACTTTTACTCCCTGCACTTTTTTGTGGTACGCCACTGACTTTTTTTGAATTAAAATGAATACATTTTTGGATTTGCTGCTCAATTTAAGAATTGTATTTATTTCTTGCAGTTTTTTCGTATCGGCCTTAGTTTTCAAGTTATTTGCACAAACATAAGTCCATGTAGGGTTTCTGGAAGATTTTCTTTGAATTCTCATATACATTTTTTTGTGTGCTTTTGCTCACATTTTTTTGTGAAAGCCTGAAGTGCAAGTTGAAGTTAGAATAGGACTGGCTGACGATTTTAACTTTTTTTGCTTTATTAATTTAATTTATACTGATTGAGGTTGATTCGCTGTAACTAATCCAAATAAAATTCGCAAGAATGTAACGAATATTTCAGTTTATTATGAAATTGACATTATAAAATTAAATAAGTTTCAATTATTTAATTTCAATTTCTTATAAGTTAAAGGTCCTGACTTGCGATCTTCTTCGATCGATTAGGTAAAATAACTGGCCCAACCAAATATCAATTTTAAATTCCGTTTGGTAATGATGGGATATTCTAGTATGGGGATTGAACATTTTTGATCAAAACAAACGTTCTGATTTAAAATGAAATTACAAAAAATCATCCTTAGCTCTTATAATAGCAAATCAACTTGTTCATTGAATGAAAATTTGTAAGGCATTTTTATTAAAAACTGCTTGGTTTTACGAAAAACCCTTAGGTACACGAGGAAACTGATGCGTGTCTTAAATTGGACAACAAATCCAAAAATTTGTTCTGTCAAAGTCAGTGGCGCACGTAATAAACTTCGCGGGGTAAAAGAGGGGTATGACACTAGAAAAATAAAAAAACACCCTGTAGATTTTCGCAAATAGGTCAGTTTACCTACAGGCAGAGGATCTAAACAGTAGCCTACGTTAAAAATTTGAGCAAAACATCTCAAAAACTGCAATAGCAATAGCATTATTTTTTAAAAACTTTAGCACCATGGTCCTGAGAAAAAACTTAAATGGCAACTGGACTTGTTTTAATGTCCTTTTGACCTCAAATCAAGATTCTGAAGTGACTCAAGATTGTGAATCACCCTGTATATTTGCGACTTCTAGACAAGTTTTTTAAAATTTATTATCCAGTAATTCTACAAATTAATTTTTGAAAATTCTCAACGGCGACTGAATAAATTATTAAGCAAGCTTGAATATTGATAAGAATAATAAAACATGTGTAATTTTCATGAAAACATGAAACTATTATTGAAGAAAATTTTGAAAATAAAAGCCCTTTTATTTAAATTGAGCTGCTACTATTCAAAAATTGCAACCGTCTGAAGAAAAGTGGTCACACATTGTGTGTGTGGCGTACATGTTTATTAATTTATAATAAAACGCCCAAACGATTTTTTATGCAGTCGCGCTCGTGCTTTTGCAATTCATAAAATAAGAGTTTTTAAAGTCGACAGTTCAACTACAAACTTTTGTGCCTTATGCGGTGAATAATCCTGTTTTTGTCGATTAATTATTCCAGTAATTAAAGTGGCCACATCTCGGAAAACATATATTTTTATGGTAAGGTAAAATAAAACACAATTACAAGCCAATAAAGTCAATGTGACTAAAGAGTAATGTTTTAATCAGCCATATTTATTAAATTGAAAATATAAAGTGACATATTAGGTATACTACATCATTGTTGATTCATATAAATCTAGAAATGTTTAATATTTGTAAGGGTTTAATTTCCATTAATGGTAAAAATTGGTAAGTTTGCAAAAATGTACAAACCACATTATGGTTTTATACGAATCACTTACAAAGTATGAACAAGGCACGCAACATAGTGTTTATTTAGACTTTAAGAATTTAGTAAGTACCTACGAACAAAATTGAAATTATTTGGAAACTTTAAGGTAATATTCGTACAATACGTAGCTAGTAATATCGGTAGACCAGAACGATCTTTTCATGATTATATACCTATTAGAACTGAAAACTTTATAAAATAAATCAAATATTATTAACAAAATTGATCTAGCCTATAGATAACAATAACCGGCTTCATACAATTTAAACTCTATAATAAAACACATCATATACACTACAAAAATAATTAACAAGTCTGAACAAAAACTGATAATAATAATGGTCCTTATGTAGACTCAAGGCTTACAAACATTTTTGCTAAATATACTGACTTTATTGTAACAATTATTTAAATAAATAATATTGTTTTATGCCCTGGTTTGCTACCTAGTCGACTATTAATTAACATAAAAAACTAACAGTAGAGTCTAACAGATAATTCTCGACTATTATTACAAAACCAAATGTGAAGCATAATTTAAAAAATCAATCTGAATTTAAATATTTTTATTACAATGCTAGAAAAATAGATTGACATTTGTTCCACTGTAAAAAGTTTGCAATATGTTTATGTACGTAATAAGTTCTTGCTCTATTAATACAGTTTTAAGAGTTATTTGATATTTCATGCATGGCAAACTGACAAAATGAGATAAATTGCGGTAAAACTACCCAGCCACACGTTCTTTTGGTAAAAAAAACTAGGCTTAAACAACAAGTAAATGGCTCTGAGTTATATTGGCATTACAAGGGCCTTAATGTGCTTATATACAAGGGCAGTATAATCCTGTCCAACTATTTAAATATTTGTAGCAAATTCAAAAAAGAAAAATGAACATTGATGATTAATGATGATTAAGTAGATGATTAAGATGATTACTCAGTTAACTCCTCTCAACTTTTGCTATGCTGACACTTTTTGCAAGTTTTATTGTATTACTGCATAATTTTAGTTCTCTATTATTCACGAACTTTAGTATTGTATAGTATTTTCCATCATTCACAAAAAAAATGGTTGGATATGGAAAGTTTTTTAAGCGTTATCTTTATGAAACAATAAGTTCTATCCAATATTGTTGAATTTATTATTAACAACAATATCTCCAGAGTAAAATTAGCCTAACAATTACTGACGCTACACTTTTTAATGCAACATCTACGTTTTTTTAAATTAACCAGCATGTTTGTATATTTTTGGTCTTTATAGAAAAAAAAATATTAAAACTATTTCAATAGTCATATTTCACAAAAAAATTGGTGGAAAATGTTCTGCGAAAGCACACAAAAAGTAGGTACATAAAACCTTCAATTTATGTCACAATTTGCGTTTCCTGTATCCAGTAGGGCTAGTCTAGAGTGTAGTTAGGAAAAGCATTCCAAATATTTAAAACATTGAAATATTCAGTTTAACAAAAGTTGATCCATTAACACAATGAAAATATTTTGCTTATGACTTTGTACCAACAAAATATAAAGCGATATATAAAACATTGCAATGTTCTTTAGTGTTCTATATTCAAAGTAAAATGTTGATATGAGAGGAAGCTTTATCTAAATATGGAAGCAGGTTTAGTATATATGTTCCAAGTACTAATACTAGTAAACAGTAGCAAAATAAGTGTACCCTATACTGTGATATATAATTATAATATCGACTACGAGTGTAATAAAAACAAATTTATCTTTCAACCAATTGATAAACTATCGTTTCAAAACAGGTAACAAAACAAGACACAAATTCAAACAAAGATAAAATTTCAAAACCCCAACAATAAGATAAATGTTTCTAAATTACACACTAAAATCTCTCAGCTTCACCATCAGTTAATGACAGCACATCTCATTCTTTGGCCAGATGCTTAGCAAGCCATTCGGGTCTCCAAAAATTGATAAACATCATCGTTGTACATTCACCCGGTATTGCGCCAATACGAGAATGTACTTGATTCTTCACAATGTCAAAAGAGCATTTAAAAACGGTTTAAATCCCAAGAAAGTTTTGATTTGATGTTTCCTCAAGTGGCGTCTGGGCTGACGCTGACCCTATACTATGTCAGCAGTTTGAAAAACATAATCGCCAGAGAAATATTGATGAAGAGAACTACAAGGACCAACTGCTGTCGTGAAAACCAATCCTGAAATCAAAAGAATTAGTATCAAGCATTGCCTCATTTGGCTGATTTAGCTCACAACTAGTAGTTACAACGGATTTGCAATTTTAAATATACGAGTTGATTCAGAAAAGCAAAACATTCGGCGATACCTTCTGAGCATTGTGCAAGAAATTTAAGCAGGATATTCCAGAAATAAATGAAAAGTCGTACTTGCTTCATCCTAAGCGTTTATCCAGATCCTTAAGATGCCGCTAAAATAATACTTTTTTTTCGTATTTTAAAGCAAATACGCATATATTGGTTATCTGTAACTGTGATGATCATATACCTACTAAGTGGTCCTGTTTAAAATGATCACTTTAAGGTATTCTCAATACATTTACAAGGTGTTGAGAAGTGAACTCGTATAAGTTTAATATACATATACTCAAAGTAACATGAAAACTAACTTGTCTGAACTTTTGTATGTTTTGTGCGGTTCACTACAAAAAAAAGTAATGACTGCAGAAGCTTGTATTAAAAACACTGTCAACCCATTAAATTACATTTGACCATTTTGTTGATTATTTTCGTTATTTTTTTAGCGTTTTTCTATTCTAATAAGAAGGTTTAGTTTTTATTATTTATAAATAGAAAACTATTGTGGTTGATGAATGGAAGGCCGCATCTTAGTTTTTTTTCGGCTACTTCTCCGAGTGAAAATGTCTTCTAATGCTATAAAAACTCGCGCAAAAAGGAATTGATCTTTTAAAATCAATTTGTCACGTACCTCAAAACGCATCAAGCTTCTCAGTGATTTTATATGTGAAAAACCGTGTTAATTTGATTTTTGAGCTGCTGAATCAAATGATATAATTAGTTTCCTCGTCCAAAAATAGTTATAAGCTGAAAACCTCGGAAAGCTCGAAAAAAGCGTGGATAAGGATTAATTATAAATTAAATGGAGCTCTTATTTTTTGTATAAGTAATTATGATTTCTTATTGAACATTTTTACGAACAATTTGAACGTTTTTTATATTAAGCTAGATTTTCCCCATTTAGAATAAATTTCTTGCTACGTCCAGGGCGTTCCCAAAATCACAACCAACTTGCAACAATTTCAATGTTTTTTTTTATTGGTTTCTTCTTCGTTTTTCCTGATTTTTAAAGTCTAATTAATTGTTAAGCCCCTACGTCGATTCATTTCGTCAGCTTGTGTCGTTCGATTTTCGCTAATTTTCTTCGATTTCGTCTTGGAAACGCAGCAGTTTTTGGTAATTTTTCTTCTCGTAAGCGTGTATGACTGCTTTATCATTTTTATAAGGAATTTTTTTCCAAACGATTTGAAACTTTTTGGAACATATTGCACTGAACAAATTGGTGTTGTTTTTAATCGCAGAAAGGCTTCTTTATCATCAAGGCTTTGTTCCTTTCATATTCCATTGTATTTTTTCGATTTAGAAGAATGTTATAGTTCGAATTAATAATTTTTAAATTATGAATAGAGTATTGTCCACTTTTGCCGCTTTGCGTGGTAAGTCAAGAGTTCTTGAACTTCTTGCTGTCTTATTTTATTCAACGTGGATTTTCGAACGTAAATCATCAGTTTGTTCCGTTCGCCTCTAATTAGATTTTCCTGGCTTTTGTCCGAGAATCAAAGTGATTTTGATTCGATAAAAATACAGTTCATTTAATCCGATTATGTGTTGACCATATGATATTTTGGAAGAATTTTTCGCAATCAACAGTTCGGTTCATTGGATTCATAACTTGCCTGTGTGTGCTTTCTTAAGTTTGCTTTATGATTTTTAATATGGCCTTTTTCGAGAGACTTTGACGTTCTTCGATCATTTTCTAATGAACACGATGCCTTTTATTCAGTCGCGGCAACTTGGATATTTTTCAATTATTTCAGTCAATTTTTTTTGCTACCAAACGGGGTTTTTTAACCTGTTAAATAAATATTTAAACGGTTGGAGTATATTTGTACATAAAAAGTACACATTGATTGATTGTTGGGTGTGTTGGAACATGATTATTTTTTCGATTTTCGAGTGTTTCGAGGATTTTCGCTTGGAACTTTTTTTTACCCATACATATACAAAAAATGATGACACAATTCGATGCAGCAGCTCAAAATGGATAAGAGCTTATCTAAAAAATTATCTGCTTTTTTGACGGTTTTCACTTATAACTTTTTTATCGCTACGTAGATAAACTATAAAAATATTATGGCCGTTACGGGTCAATTTATTGTCCTTTTTTAACTCATTGTTCGAGTTTTCCGGGGATTTTTCTTATAACTATAGTTGGAGAAAAACTGATGGTACCATTCGATTCAACCTCAAACTACGTCAGAAGAAATTGCTTGAATAATGAAAATTCAAAATTTAGACCGGCTTTTACAATGATAAACAAATTAAGACTTTTTCCCATAAAACAATGAATGGGAGACTTGACGTTGTTTGAGGCTCGTGATAAAAGTGCAATTTATTTTTGCGCAAAGTTTTTAGAGCCTATCCAAGTCCGGCCTAATGAACAGACATTCGCATTGTGTCTTGTTATCAATTCATCTATTAAAACAGCATCATGTAGTCAATAATATTCTATGTTTGATATCAACATAAACTGTTAGATAGTTTTTCCATTTTTTCACGTCATGTAAATCGTAATAATGAGTAATATATAGTTTATAACCGTCTATTACAATGTTTTCGCTACGCGATAATGAAATTAAAAATCGTGCCTGATATTTTTTAATCCTTACTAATGCCATAATCTAATAGACACACACACAGTAGCATGGACAAAATAATTCGAAATATCGAAAAAAGTTGATTGAATTAACTCGATTCCTTCCATAGTCAAATAATTTTTTATTATTTTTGGCATAAAGTAGGCACTTGGGGCTCGAAATTAAAATTGGGTCCGTAGTTTCGTTCCGTCCAGTCCAGTCTCCTTGTTTTGTCCAGTCCTCAGTTCAATTCAACCTTTAGAGTGCCGGCATTCATCTTTGGTCTGGGCGATTTACGTTATTAATTTTTTTTTTGGATTTAATTCACTTGGGCAATTTTTGTCTTCATTACAGATCCTCTCGCATTTTTTTAAGTTAGAGCTTATAGTCAGGTTTTCTTTAAAAAATATATTTGTGTGGGGTAATGTGGTTGTTGTGTTTGCTCCTTCAGCTAATAGTGGGGCTACCCCCAAGCAAAAGTCGCTAGTTTATGGCTTGACCATTTAAAGATAGCGTTAGATAAATCTGCTTGAAAGTAATATTGTTTTCTAATATGCGGAGTTTTGAAAATTTGTTTAGCAATAAATCTCAAACTCAGACTCTACATTTAATCTAGCAAGATAGATCAACAACGTACACCTTTGATCAACATGAGGTAAAAATATGCAGCGTTTGGTATGCACGGAAACTCTGAATTTTTTGGGCCAACCTGAGAGGCAGCTTTTAAATTTAGCTCGTAAAACTTGCTTCGGGAAATTTCAATATGTCACATGCAAAGTCCTGGCAAGTTAATTTCCATAATGTTACAAGAACAGGCTTAGCGTTTGCTGTTGTGTGGATTAAGCTAGATCTTTATTATGGCGCAATTTTTGGCATTCAAATGGAGGCAAATGCAAAACTTGGCACTTATATTCTATAAAACCAAAAAGCTCAAGTCTAAAATTTTAGCTAAAATAGGTCACAGGAAGTGAACATTAGACTCAAACTAGGTACACCTGTGTTCAAATTAGAACAATGATTACGTTAAAACAATAACATTAATTGGCAGGCAGCTCATGATAGCTTTGCAGAGACTTATGCAAATGGGGCCAAATACCCATCAAATAAAATAAGAACACGCAAGTATGAACATATCTAGAACAGTTAACATACCTATTCGATCTCTGTAATGCAGTAAGTAGAGAAAAAAATGGGTTAAGATAAATGCTTTAAAGTTTAGACATTTGAAGCATAATGATTTACTATAATGAACAAATTGAAACTAAGAACAGTGCTTTACGCCTTTTACGTGTTGTATCAGACTTTAAAACAAAAAGCAGGAAAAAGATGTTTATGGATTTTTTAAATCGTGCTTTTATTTATGAGAGTTTAGTTTCAAAAGTAGACATACACAGTGTACACAAGTCAATTACAGTAAATCATTTGCAATTATAGAAACTAGGTAAAGCCAAAAACTAGGAAGAGTGCTAGGCGGAAAGCTTGCTAAATAAGCTAACAAATGCAGGCGTAAGATATGGCATGCCATTTGTACTACCTTTGTTTACCTTTGTTATTTATATTATATAAAAATCCCAAAACATTTACAAGGCAATACAATTTGAAAGTACATAGGCCTCATACAAATAAACAGCAGCTAAATGACCTCCAGCCACTTCGCGCACTCGGTATTTTCAGCCAAACAACAGAATCTCTAATTTTATAAATATGTATGTGTTATTTAGAGAAATCAAGGGAACATTAGCAGTATGGAAAATTTTAATTGAAACAATTTGTGCTGGAAGTATGTAGTATATTAGTGGCATATTTGATAAAAATATCATCCAATACTTAGATAAAATACAGTCAGTATTAGAATGCTAGGCTCTATTATTGAAATAATTCATTATGTTATAAAATGAGTTAAATATATTTCTAATATTCATCTTCAGAATGAAATTCTTACCATTTCAAAATAAGTCATTTTGGTGTCAGAACTATTAAATTTTTTTTAGACTTGTGTATAATTGTATACAAATATAATATCGAAAATATTAGTATTTTGCCAATTTCCGGCATTAATGAAAGGTTTTCGCATTACCTTTTGTACGAAAATTAAATGCATAATCAAATCAAATCACTAAAAAAGGCAGATAAAAATTAGATGTTAAATAAGGTTGTATGTGTATAAAAGATCATAAATCAAAAAGTGATTCAACGATAAATTCCAAAACGCACCTTATCCAAATGTTTCGGAATGATCAACTCCATAAATAACTGTTATTATTATTTAATTTAATCCCAAGTTATCGAGGTTTAATCTGCCATTTTTAAATTAAAACATTAAAAACGTATTTATGGTTCAAATGGCACCCCATATTTCTATATTCGAAAACACACTGTCCTTTAATTGCAGCTTTCAATGATTGGTTTAACAAGCATTGATTTGAGAGCAATAACATTTTGATTAGTTTTTGAAAATACAATTAGACAGTGGCTATTTCGAAAGGAGCGTGGGTGTCTAGCACTCTACACCAGGAGTCAATACATTCGCATATCATTTTTCCATTCACATATATTTATTTACGGAACTTATTATCAATTATCAGTGTCATTTTTGCTGTAAACCTGCTTTCCAATATGCATTAGCGAAAAGTAAAAACATGATTTTACTCATTATAAATGGAATCGATTCCTTTCTAAAAAAAAATTATTTACCGCACATGATATTCATTCTGATGACAGATGTGTAATTACAAGAGAGATGCTATTAAGTCGCAGACATTTATGATCGTATGCATGTGTGGTTAGTTAACTATGCTTATTTTCTAACTATAGTTAATGAGGAATCAATTGCTTTTTGATACAAATTTACAAAATCGTTTATTAGTTCCAGTTTGACTTTTACTCTCAACTTATTGACTGAAAATGTTTCGTTTTCAAAACGGTTTTTTGCTCAGTAGTTAATTTAACCAAGTAATTTGCATATATATATATTGGATGACCATACTATGGTTATTAATTTAATAAAATAAATATATATGGTCATAGCAATAACCAAGTAATCAATTCTTTATACCTGGTATCTATTGATATGGGTGACTCTAGTAAAATTGGTTTTGCATTCAGCTTATCAGGAGCATGAGGGCGAAGTTGATAGAATATTACCAAATTGGGTTTTCTTCTGGAGATTACCTACAGTAATTAGGACGGAAAATTGGAGTTGGGCTTTTAAAAAATAATTTTCAACACCTTTAAAATTTCAAACATAATATGCCAACGTGTAATCAATTATTACCATCAATAACATATCTTTAAGGACTCTATTTAGGCAAAAAGAGCTCTAAAAAGCTGTCAAAATGACGCAGTTAGAGATGTCAGATGTACAATACTACGTTATTGTGACACTAATGTCTGGCTATGTCAAATCTAATTAATCAACCAACCAGCTTTTGAATAGAGCAAGCTTTGCAATTGAGCACTATTTGGCATATAATGTCTTAAGTTTTCGAATTGTTGTCATTTTTAGTGACTATATAATAGTCAAAGTGTTTTTTAATAAAACCAGCAAGTCAAGCTAGTCGTCAAGCAAAGTTATTTTTGTCTCAAACTCATGTTTAAACATACTATTTTATATTTTATTATAATTTAATATTTTATATAATGCAGTGTTGCTAATGAGTTTCTCTTAAATTATAAAATTATCTTGCTATAAAACAAATGAAATAACAATCCTTCAAATCTGTGTAGACAAAGCCAGGCATTCACGTAACGCAGTATGTTTAGGATGATCGTCACTTGGCGATCAATAATTTATGAATGAACCTCTTGCGGTGAAAGATTTGCTGCTACCGACGTAAACAATAAACAATATAAGATTATGCGTGGAGTTAAGAAAACCAACACTGCTTTTCATTCACTTATTACAGAACTGAAACATTGGGAAACTTTTTTTATAAAGCGCAATTCGAATATTCATTTAAATCAATAAAACCAAAGTTCAACTTTTAGAAGAAAAAACTTTTTGTACAGACGGGGGTAAGAGGTGAAGGTTTCCTTACAATACCACACAAACGTTTTTTTCGTCGTTTTTGAGCTACAGGGTGGCAAAGTTAACATTTCATTTTATTTTTCTAATTAATGTACGCAAATCTTAAGATACTGTAATACAATTCTATATTCTGGCTTATCGGAATACCACATCCAATCATGTCCAAGTTTTCGCCAAATTTACTGAGGGACCACATGGTACTAATATTCAATTTTTAATTAATAATAAATTTTGTGCCTACCGGTATCAACCTCATTTTAAAATACAATAAGTTTTCGCACCTATTTACGAAAGAAAGGTATTCTTACTTGAAGTCGGTAACGATAACCGATTTCGAGATTTGTTTATAAAACATTTTAATTGCAAATGAATTACAACAAAGTAACAAATTTTTCTTGAACAGTTTTAGATTTCTAAAATAAATTTTCAATGATTGAATAATACAGAATACAGAATTTGATTACAGTATCTTAAGATTTAAGTGAACAAAAACTAAATGTTAACTTTGCTACCTTATTTCTGAAAAACGAAGCCGTTTTCAAAATATATTTGTATTATATTGATATTTTCATCTTAAAATTTGATTTTCTATCGATCGTTAAAATCCTGCTACTATAAACTCACTCGCCCTGTATAATTACTCTTCTCTAAAATGCATTTGTCTGTTAATATGCATTTGAAATTTAAGAATATATAGATTTTTTTAGACTTATTTGATATGGACTTAAAAATATAATTCCAATCAGAATGTATTTCCTCAATTTAAATTGACAATTTATTTATCCCGAAAATGTGTGTGTGGCAAACACTAAGCATTGTTGTGGCCATTTTATTTATACCTAATCTATATATATATTTATATTTAAAAAAAAATTTCTAAATTAATTACAGATATATTATTGCCATCGACCACTTGGCAAATTGCCGATAGGTAGTTATACTTGAAGTAACTTTATAATGTTTCAAGCAGTTTTGCTGAAATTTGCTTAAAAAAATTGTAAATCTAGAAAATTATGAGATATGATTTTTCAGTCTACAATTTGCTTGTATGTTTTATTCAGATAATGTCTAGTCAACCCCGGGCTATAGTTTCTGCATTTAAATTGGTCCTTTTTCCCATATGAAAGAATATTTCCATAGAAATCCCACATAAGAGAAATACAATAAATACAATGTTGGACTTTGGTTTTTTTCCTACTTCCAATTTGCAACAATAGGTCTCGAATACGAGGTGTCTAAAATATTCCATAAAATATAGATCATAAAAATACCTCACTAATCCAAACCCGCCTATTTTGTTGTTTAAAGATCAGAAGTTTTTTAAACAGGTTTGAACCGCTTTTACTCAAACTTGTTTGTAGTCTAAACATAGCCAATTGGCGTGACTAATAATTTGCGCAAAATCGCTTGCGGTGTAACCGAAGCCTCACAGTGCAAGCAAATTGTGTGTCACAAATTCGCGAGGATTAACTACATTTTGAAAGTGGGAGTAAGACATAACGAAGAGGTTCAGCAAGGCAAAGAATCCGTTATTCTATTAGAGAATGTATTGCTCTCTAAAATTTAAAATTCTATAATATACCTTGCTGGTTGCGTTGCTGGTTTTCGTCTTTTAACCTGAAGAGCACAAAAAATTTTGAACCTTTGAACTTTTTGAAAATTTAGGCCACGTTTACACTGCATGTAATTTTGCATGAATTACTACGTACGCAGCCTAAACCTAACGCCGCCAGATCTAAAGCTACAACCAGACATAACGTTAGAGCGACAAGACCGAGGTACATCGCACTTACGTCGCGCTTGCGTTGTCGTCTGGTTCAACTTGTGCCGCGCTAAGCCTGTACACGGCATAAGGTGCGGTATATGTGTTTTGCACTATAAGTTTGTAGTTCCTCTTGACGAGCGAACATGAATTCTGAGGAACAGTATTCTTCAAGTGAAAACTCGTTAGATAAAATTCCTCTATTTGAAAAGCAAAGAAATAAGTTGAAACATGTTCTTGAAAAATCAGGAAAATTAAAAAGGCAGCCCCAAAAATTCGTCAGAGAAAGAAGTAACAAAGGAACACAAGTACAGAGAATGTATTGCTCTATGAGAAAACGTATCGATCGTCGTGTTCGTTCGTTCTGTTCGCGTGCAAAAAACAAGCGATAACCGGCGATTTGTGAGTTTTAGCTTAAATAAAAAAGCTTAAATCTATTAATGTCCACTATGTTTAACATGTTTGTTCGATCGCGCTAATGACATATTTCCCAAAATCGTTCGCAGAATTAAATTGATCTTAGACGCCCAGATAAATTATCTAATTTTCTGAAACAGGTTAAACATCTATAACTGGCACATGTAGATGTCAGCTAAAAATCAGCTCTGTATATTATTTATATAAGTTGGTAGTATTATTTATACTGCTTTCACCTGCATGCTCCTGTTGGTATAGCGAATACTCATTGAACACATTATTATATCTACGCATTATGACTTATGCAGTGATAGAGAAACTATTAATAATTATGAACAAACCTTATGAATATCAGTTGAGGGTAATAATAAACACTGTATGTTTCTGTGAAAATTTGGGTTTTTTAAGTTGTTGTGCCGTCGTGAAAAATAAGTTCTTTGTGACATTCCGGAAACCACTCGTGCCTGTAGTGGCCGTGAAATGCTTTCAGTAATTTGCAGTGTTTGGAAACCAACTTTACAGCTACATTTAGACTAATTTAAGCATTAGCGGCGTGTGGTGTGTGGTCTAATGTTTTTGCAGACCTACCTTGACTTGTGGACTGACTAGATAGAGTAGAGGGTTGGCGCGCAATCTTTCCCGCTCATCAATTTGCCTTCGAACTTCTTCACGACGGGCGGAGCCTAAATAGGATACTTCCTCTCTGGGCATTTGACGAGTGGCTCTTGGGAGCTCCTGTACATCAGGAAGTGACTTTTTGCGCTGAAGAGAGGTTTGCGTTGCAAGTACCTGAAACGTAAATTACACTTGATAAAGTCAGTTAAATGCCAAAATCTATATCCGAGTCAGTTAGGAACTATATTAACCTCAACTGGCGGAGTATCAATCCAACTTTCTGATGCCCGCCTGGCCATTAAGGCAGGAGAAAATAATAAATCTTCCTCTTCATCATCGTCCCCTTGATACCACATCTTTGCTTCACTTTTTCAATAACTTTCACGTATTTGACCTTTGACTTATTTAATTATTGTTAGTTCTTAAGAGCATAACTAGGTCAAGGAATGGATGTGTATCACATGGTTGTTTTAGTGTGTTTCACTTATGGTAAAATAATTGAAAAAAATAAAAACGCTCGATCAGTCCTGTGCAATACCATTTCGATTGCCCGAGACGGGCGCAAAATCACCTTGGCACACACCAGATCCCGAAAAGCAAAACCGTGTCACTGGCGATCAGCTCCTGTAACATCGACGCTTTTAGAAGCAGCATCGCGACGCCCAACAGGGTGGGGACCTCACACTAATGTTTTAAACGGCTTGAAGACGGTGATATTTGTCATACAATGCCAGCGGAAATGCTCAGGAATTTCGTCTAGGTCTAAGTGTTTTGACCAAAGTACGATTTGCTGCTTTCAGTTTTAGCCAAGTTATAAATATTTTTGGATTGCTTTTATATGATCTGGGTTAGTTCAATAACTGAAGTACAAACAGTTTGTCAAAAATAGAAGTTATATTAATATGATTTACGGTCTTATGATGATGTAATGTAAAGCCCTAACAAGATTGGGCCTAGGCCTCAACTTTAGAATATGGATTTCAGTGTTTCTTTAAAAATGCCAAATAAATGCGAGTATCTACAGAAAAATATTTTTTTGGAGTATACCATTTTTTGCTCGCTGATAATGTTGAGCATTGGTAACAAAGATTACATTTTAAAGTACCTACATCGAAATGAACACGATGCTCTAAGAGAAGTAGTAAATCAAACATATGTTTTATTTTCAAAGTTAAATAATATACCACTAAAGTAGAATATAGCAAATATTAATCATTTTTAGAGAACAAGGCCCAAGGGCTTACACGTGACGTCATCCCATGTAGGCCAGTCTATTTCCTATTACGAGGGCGTTAGTATCAATTATATTCACTGTTTCTCTTGCTAATTGGTTGATTTTTTCGCACTTTACGTCAATTTCTGATTACCAGTTCACTACCTGAAGCAAATGTACATTTTCCAAGAAAAATGGTCGTCCGGAAAATGGAAAATCCGGTCGGGAAAGTTGTTGATTTTGGTAGCCATAGTAGTACCTACTTAGTTCTTATTTCATTGATAAAAGTTTCTAATTTTACCGTGGTTTGCAACGATCGTACGTTACGAGGTTCGGTTATACGTCTGGAAGCAGCTTTACAATTGGACATTCTACAGAATAGTTACAACTTGGCGTAATTTCTTTAAGGGAAATACTGGCACTGGTTTGGAACGTACGGAAAAAAATTATTTAAAAAAGTAAACTTTGCTTTCCGACTTAACTTTTAAAGATTCAATTTGAACTGTTGAAAATGCATGAAATTTACCTTGTTTTGAAATATTGTAAATCTATTAAATCTTACATGATAAGCAAATTGATTTTTCTAGAAAAGCAAAACTTGCCAAAAAAAGTGCAAGTGGTTGTACTTAACTGAACTGCTAAAATGATTGAAAGGTTTCTCGCAGATTTTCCATGATTTCAATTTTTTGGGAAGTTGGAATCAGCACAAATGCTAAATTTCCACCATTCTATATACTTTGTCGATTTAATGAAATTGAAACTATTATTCTAAGTAAACATTGAAAACTGATATTATCAAGGAAAATTGAGAAGTTCTGTTATCATTGAAATTCGTGTAATGAGCGATCGCATTAAAAACAGGTATGTTTAACAAATACATTGTTGCCGAATATATGATTTTGTATTTTGCAAGTATTTCAGTTTTTGTGCACTTTTCTTCTATTTTTTAATTATTTTTCTATACTTCCAAGTACCGCAGACAAAATCTTCACAGCAATGACGCCAATTTTGAGTCACCTTATACATGCTTTCCTATTACATTTTCAAAGTTGTGTTTGAGCGAAAATACATTTTAACAAAAAAGTTCAAAAATATACCTTCAACGTACTAATTGGGAAAACGTGCTTTCTTGCGAAAAAAGAAACAATCACAATGGCGAATATTTTTCTGCATCAACAACACTTTTGAAATAAAAACTCTAACTTTTTCCCACCATTTTGTTTGAAGAGCATAAAGAAATAACGTTGAACCGAATTTACGTTACAATCGCTTCGTTTTTTAAAAAAGTTTGGCAAATATCACTTTGGAAAACATCTTTAATTCTTTATATTTTTCAGAGCTGTTTGCAGGGGGTGTGCTATAAATAAGTTCTTTTAGATACAAAAAAAAATGTGAGATCAAATCTGGTTGTCGTGAAGGCCAGTCTTGGCAACCGTTTCATTCAATCCGGCGGTAATAAAATCAAACATTTAAAATTGATCTGAGGTTACGATATAATTGCGTAGGCGAATCATCCATTCGAAGCCACATGGTTACGCTGAGTCCAAATGAATGAATGAATTTTATTTTAATGGGTGCAAGATTTGATCCGAATTATAATCGAATTTTCGTCTAATGAATGGATTGACAGATCCATTAGATTTATTAAAGCAATAGGCAATGCTTTTATTGTTTGTGAATTTAACATAAACCCACTACCACTTTTCAATTGGTGATGAAGCTGAATTAAAATGAAAATGCATTATTTGCAAATCGATCCACAGCCAACTTACACAGGTTTTTACATAAAGCCCAAATGGGGTTGCTCAGTCATGAAAAATACAAAAACCATTAAAGTGTGAACTTCACGAAATGGATCATTCAGCTTCAGTGGTTGAGATCGTTTCAACCGATTTACACATTTTCAACCCTAATACAGTCGCTCAGCAGGTCTGTATCAGGTTAACTAGGTATGATGTAGATACGATGTATGTTTATATTTAATTTTCGAGAGATAACGGTGAATTGTCTACAATTAGCCCATACATTATATTCAGCGTCATGCTGAGCTTAGTACTCTTAGGTTTAATATGTTTGCCCCAGCATAATTTTTGCGAGGAATTCGTTGCTCATTTAAAGCTACAGGTTTCATTAATAGCTACTTATCATCTAGCTTTTCTAGCCTATGTATTTTTTGTCAAATGTGGCTTGCATTGTTTGAATCCTGGTCTGATACTAACAAGGCTGTATCGTCAGCATAGGTAATAGTATTCACTGTTAGGTCGGCTATATACAGGGTTATTCACGCTATACGGCACGGAAGTTTGCGGCTGAACCGTTTGATTTTGAAAAAGTATTATTTGATGAATTGTCCGACGCCTACCGGGCGCAAATTTTAAAAATATTTTTGTAATGTACAGGGTGTCCCAAAAGCTCTAAAAGTATCAAAGTTGCGTTTTTTTAATGGAATGTTCTTTATATTATTGCATTTTTGTATTCGCTGAACAAAATAAGTGTCTGTTTTAATAAGGTTTATAATACCTAAATCTTAAGGTTTTTAAAATAATACGAATTTAATCAAAATCTAATC